GGATATTTTTGTATGGAGCATATGTATATATTTGTGCAGAAAAATATATGTTAATATTAGTGTTTAAATAAAAAACAAAATATTTTTTTTGTTAGCATCAGAGTCTGAATTAATTAAGTAATTAATTTACTTCAAAAAAATTAATTAATTACTCCCCCAGTCTTTAATATAAGACCTAATTAACTAATTTAAGTATATTAAAGATATTAATTAAATTATTTAATTATAAAAAAATATAAAATATTTTTTTAAAAATATCATAATCATTTTTTTTTATATCCTTCCTTTTTTTTCTTACTTAATTATCAAATAATTTTAAAAAATTGATAAATATAAAACTAAAATAAACTCCGGAGTAATTAGTGTGAACGTACAAATGGAAGCGAAGATCACGGACAATGAAGTGATTGGGAAAGGGAAGAATTTGGAGAAAGCAAGGTGGGGAAAGGACTGACACGTGTCGGTGAGAGCGGGAGCTACTTGGGAACCGACCGACAAAGAGACAAGGGCACATGGGGGGAGGGTAGGGCCCACAAAGGGAACTTTGAGTTATTTAGAAGCACATGGACTCCGCATAAAGTTGACCTGTACTTGGACACCTGAAACATGTGGGCCCCCCTGTCCCCACCCCACCAGTTGCCACACTCCGCTCCCTTCCTCTTACCTCCTCCGCATCCGCTTCCCTCGTCGCCCTCCCCCCACGCTGCGCACGAGCTCATTGACGATGACAATATTTTTCCCTAAAACGAAATCGTTTCTTAAATATTTTCAGTTTGTAATTATAATTATTTGAATTTTGAAACTAATATTACTTCCCATCGTTAATATAAAAATCGTTTGATTTTTATTTTAATTTTTAATATAAGATTTTAATTTATTTTGTTTTTTATATTTATTCATTTTTTTCAAGTTAATCCTTATAATAATAGTAGTTCTAATCAATACACTTTATTAATAAAAATATTTTAAAAAAGACAACACCTATTTATTATAAATAACTAATTTAACTAATTTTCTTAATCTACTCAAATCAATCAACTAGCTCTTATATTAAAGAACAAAAGTAGCATAAGAACTAGTTGACTAATTTGAGTGGATTAAAAAAATTATTTAAGTTAATTACTTGTAATAAATAATACTCCTGATACTTAATATAAAAGCTAGTTGACTAAGTTGAGTAGATTAAGAAAATTAGTTAGTTAATTATTTATAATAAATAAGTGTTGCCTTTTCTAAAATATCATTGCTAATCAAATATATTTGTTAGAACTACAATTATTACAAGGACCATCTTTAAAAAAAATAGATAAATATGAGAGATATATATTAGAGTCTTATACTTAGAAATAAAATAAAAGTCAAATAAATTCTTATATTAAGGACCGGAGGTAATATGTGTTGTCTTGTCTAAAATATCCTTGCTAATCAAGTATATTGGTTAAAACTATTATTATTATAAAAACTTACTTTGAAAAAAATAAATAAATATGAAAAATAAGGTGAATTTGAGTTTTGTATTTAAGATCAAAATAAAAATCAAACAACTCTTATATTAAAGATTAGAAATAATATTAAGCACAAGAGATAATATTATTCAAATGTTGAAGCAATTTTGCCTGCACCAGGAGAGCCCCCAGTTTATAATACCTTCAATTTTCTACGTGCTCAAATTTCCCACCACGTTTGGTCAAAACAACAAAAAAAATCCCACCACAATACCGCGTTGTCATCACTCAATCTAGATATATCACCTTAAGAATGATTTAAGTAATTTAAATGTGTTAATTAAATTTATTAAGTTAATTATTTGTAATAAATGTGTTTTTTCTTTAAAATATCTTTATTACTTGTATATACTAGCTATAATTACTATTTGATGAAGCATCTAATATGTACAACTACAAAAATCATTTTAAATAAATAAATAAATATAAAAAAAAACAAAATATTAAACTTTTATATTTAGAATTAAATGAAATGTCAAAATAACTTTAATATTTTTAAACGCTGTCGTATATGTAATCCCCGCCCACGTTAAGAATTAAAAATTTAGATGAGAAAAATGCAATCAAAGAACTACACATAATCAGGTTCGTAGGCACAGGCCACGCCCATGCATCCTCACAGGCACATCAACAAGAATCATACGGAGGATGGGTAATGCTGCGCTGTGGCAGTGATAGAGCCACCCATGGGGGGTCCAAACTCTCAAGCAATCACATCAATATCACCTGCACACGCTTCCCACTCATCTATATCACCCCCTGTCACACCAAACATGGATGCCTCCAACCCCTCTCCCACGTGTCGCCTCCTAGTTGGTCCATACTCACCCCCTCGCCTCTCTCTTCATCACTCTTTATAAAACCTCTCTCTGCCTTACGAACTTACGGTCATCGTCTCTGCCTCCTCTCTGCTCACAAAACCTTTTAATTTCTCAGCTACCTGTGCCAGAAGGTCACCGAAATATTTTCTTACGTCTCAAACCAACGATCCTACGCTCTTCAGACATGTCGTCGGAGAATCAGCCGGACGATGCCGTGAAGCTCAACTTCAAGGACACCGAGCTCACCTTGGGCCTTCCCGGTGCCAAAACCGGTTCCAAACGTGGATTCTCTGACACCGTTGATCTTAATCTGGCCACAACCCAAGCCACCGATAACGACCATGGCTCCGCATCTGCTAAACCTCCCGCACAAAAGTGAGTAACCACACAAAATTAGATTATTCTCTATCTTCTATCTTTTTGAGCCGATTAATTCCTTGATGGGATATATATATATGATTGATTGAGTGTGTTGACGACGGCGCAGGGAGCAGATGGTGGGGTGGCCGCCGGTGAGGGCAAGCAGAAAGAGCGTGATGAAGAAATGTAAGTACGTGAAGGTGGCCGTGGATGGAGCTCCATATCTCAGAAAAGTAGATCTTGAAATGTATCAGAGTTATGAGGAACTTCTAAGGTCCTTGGAAACTATGTTCAGCTGCCTAACCATCCGTACGTATTATATATATATATATATATCTCTTTTTGGATCCCCATATATGTGTGTGCGCGAGCACTATGAAAAAGAATTATTAAATTGTGTCCATGGACAACAATTAGGGATGATTTAGTCTTTTTATGTGGATGCGAATATGATTTGCAGGCAATGATTTGAACCAGAACTCTGAGAGGACGACGAAGGTTAAGGCGGAGAGTGGAAAGAATAATAATGGAGGCGAATACTTACCCGCCTATGAGGACAAAGATGGTGACTGGATGATGGTCGGAGATGTCCCATGGAAGTAAGCGATTTGAGTTAATTAATAATTATTATAACTATGGATTATGGAAGAAATTCGTTAATGATATTCATTAAATCTTTTGTTGTTGTTTAGGATGTTTGTTGAGTCCTGCAAAAGAATAAGGCTGATGATGAGCTCGGAGGCCACGGGCTTAGGTCCGAGAAGAGGTTCAAAATGAAGGTAATCTAAGGTTGTCCGTAAAGAACTAATCTCATGACTCATGTACAGAGGCTTCGATCTACAAACCAACTTGTGGGTTTGTTGGTTGGTTGGTTAAAGAGATGATTAGAGCAGATTAAGGAAGTGCTATTAGTAATCAAAGGAATAAAGAGATAGAGGGAGAGAGAGAGAGAGAGAGATTATGGATGTGGTCTGTAAATTGCTGATAATTCTGTCGTCTGTGTTTGTTTTGTACTGTAATACAAATGCGAGTTTGATGTTGAGGCTGATGTATTTCCTATATCCCAATTTTGTAATCCTTAGTTACAAATCATTATCTCACTGTCGTGGTCTGAGATCTATATTATACTTCACCCATAGTGTCTCTTCCTTTTCACAAGTTTTTCAGACATTACAACTGTATCTTTAATCCTTTTCTTCTTCTTTTTTTATAATTATGTATTGAAAACCTGGCCCAATATGATGTTTTTTTGGGGAACAATTTGGCCCAATATCAAAAGCCTGACTCATATATCTTAAAAAATATGTGCTTTATAAAAAAACATACATACGTGCTTTATAAAAAAAATTGGTGCTGTTGTGTTTTCGTGATCTCAAAATTTTCACCTTGAGAGTTTTTAAGTCCATTATCAGATTACACTACTTCAACAAATCCAAGATTCAAGTCGTCATGTTTTCCCCCATAGAACCCCAATGGTGATGGACATTTGGGCCGCTAACATCTTATATTGTCCGGCCCAATTGGATGGGGGATCACTGACCAAGTGAAATTAAGATGAAAAATTTTAAATATATTAAAGAGTCGAAATTCCTCCTAAGAATCATCGTCAAATTTAATCAAAAATGAAAAATTGTAATTTGACATTGGAAAAAAGAAGAAGGGGCAAAGACTCAAGTGAGATAATAAATATGAGAAAATTACCCATAAGTATTAGGTATAAAAAATTAAATAAAAAAAGACCCCCATTTCATTTAATATTAATACATCTCCATAAAATTTAATTTTTATAAATCGGGTTATACTTCTCTGATTCTTAATATAAGACCCATTTAACTAATTTGATTAGATTAGATAAGTTAGTTAATTATAAGAAATGTGATACGTTTTTCCTAAAATACCATAATCATCTTTCTTAATACCCTATCTTCCTCTTCTACTTAATTATAGTTGTGAGAGTATCTATAAGGGTAATTTAGAAAAAATTGATAAATATGAAAAATAGATCTTATATTTAGGATCAAAACCAACTCAACAATTACGTCTTATATTAAGGACCGGAGGAGTATTATTTATAAGTAAAATTTAACAATTTAATGCTTATCAATAAATTTTTCCTATTTATAAGTCAAGTTACATCATTTACAAACTCAATGTCCCATTCCAATACGAATGTTCAAGGAACCAGGTGTCTCAGGGTGGATCCTTACGCGGTCAAGTACCAAAAACTACTAGAAAATTACCAATCACCAATATTTTTATCAGGAGACCCTCCTATATATTGCACGAAATAAAGGGGGGAAAAAAAGAAGTCAGATTATTTACAGCTTGTGAATAATATTACTTATTTTTCTGTATAAATAGTACTGATGTTGATATTGATTTAGTGACAACCAATATAGTCTGTACATGTAGGAAAAACAGAGTAATATACACAGACTGATCTCTGTTGATGATGACACTAACTAATGCCGAAGGATAGGCCAATTCTCTCTAAGAACTGAGGGACTATGGGAAAATTACAAAGAATTCCCAAGTAAGAAAATTAATTACTAACAAGTCTCTTGAAATTAAGTTATGACTAATAAATCCCTTAAAGAACTTGTGTGAAAACACACCGGATAAATTGTAAATTTCCTTAGATTGACTTGCAAATGTTGAAAGAGGAATTGCAAATCACCACAATGAGGGGAAAAAAAATTCCCCAGCTCTTCTAATATCTGCGAGTCAAACTGAGAAATTTATAATTTATTCTTCTTTTTTTTTGGCACAAGTTCTTACTATAGGTCTCTTGAAGATCTGGAGGAGGACTTGTAAATCACCGCAAGATGAAAAAAATTGCATTAAGTCCTTTTCCAGTATTTGCAGATCAAATTAAGACACCCACAACTTATCCTATGTGGATTTTCCTCTAGCACAAGTTCTTTAGAGAGACCTATTAGTAATAACTCAATTTTAAAAGAGCCATTAGTAATTTACTTTCTTACCTAAAATTTCCCAGTAATTTTCCCAAAATCTAATCCCACAAATGATCAGCCCCTAAAGGTTACCTAGACGCCAAGAATGGGGTTTCTCCCCTCATCAATTTCAATGGTAAGGAGATGCTGGGGGTCTGATCCATTTGGTCCCTCAGAGTACAGTGTAGGAAGGTAAGCATGGTATGCCGGCAAGTATCGAGAAACAAAATCCCTCACCTGGAAAATCACCAACCATGGAATAAAGCTTGGTCAGTCCTCGCAAGTTAGAACAGACAAAATATCATGATTTATACTCCCTGCACTCTTTTTTATAAGACCCCTTTTAGGATGTTTCTCTGGCACAAATTTCCTTAAGCAATTACTACCTTTTTCCCCCAAAAAATACCCTCTGTTTTGGAAATAGGCATTAACTAAGTGGCGCATGAATTCATAAAATACATAGGGGCAGTTTTGTAATTTCATTGAAAATTTATTTTTTGATCTTGGCGAGGTGGTTAAAAAGTTCCTTATGAAAAGGACCAAAGCAACAGCAAGGAAAATCGCAAAAGAAGACCTCAAAGATTGGAAAACTGCATAAAGGAATATATTTATAAAAATTATTGTCAAAACCAATATTATTCCTTCGTTCCTTAATATAAGACCTATTTAATTAATTTGATTAAATTAATAAAGTTAGGTAAGTTAGTTAATTATAAGAAATATGACATGTTTTTTCTAAAATACTATAATCATTTTTCTTAATCCTCCTGTTCTTTTTCTATTTGATTATGGTTGAGAGAGTATCCATAGGGATAATTTAGAGAAAATTGATAAATATGAGAAATGGATCTTATATTTAGGACTAAAATTAACTCAACAATTGGGTCCTATATTAAAGACTGGAAGACTAATATTTTAATTTACCCTAATTTACAATTTTTCTATTTTCAAGGTCCTTTTTTTTTTTTTTTACAATTTTTCCAGAAAAGTAACACATCCATGCGTGTATCTGTTTATGGTGTGAGCAAGAGTCTTGGCTCAAGCAATAACTACTTTCAAAATCTCACGTCGTCTATGGAACAGAGAAAAGGCATCAATAGGAAGATAAGGAACAGACCTCTTCATCAGACATTCCAGGATTGCCAGCCTCCCTCATGGCAATCTCAGCCTGCAGATTAGAAGAGGACATGGCATGGAATTATATAAAATGGGAAAGAGAAAGCCTTTTTCTTCTCTGAGGTGGTTAAGGTCGTTAAAGCAGTCTACCTGCAGCCGCCATTGGTAGACACAACTTGGGTCCGTTATCTTGATGACTATCCATGACTTTATGAACTTGTCCCATGCATCATAATAAGCTTCAAGGTTTTTATTCACGACTTCTAGCTGAGAATGTAAGCACAATTGTTTTTCAGTTCTTTAATTCATAATAATGGGCTAAGGAATCAGCATTATCTGCAGTATTTAACTCGATCTGCAAATTAAGAAAAGGCACTTCTGTAGATTCTGACCTGGGGATCAACAGCCTTTACAGCTTCCACTGGAAGGGGCTTGAAACCAAGCATCCAACCTTCGAACAACACAACCTACACGAACATCGATGGATATGGGGGAAAATGAACAATGTGAAATACTTATAAAGCTTGACAGAAATGGCAGGGTTTTTTTTTTTTTTTTTTTGGGGTCATCATCATGATCAAATTTGTCACTTTCAAATGCAACTCAATATTGTTTGATTCTCTTACCGTCAGCGGCCCTTCAATTTCAGGCCAGGTTGAAGGATCAGAACGGTCACCTCTTCCACTAAATGCTGACTGCAAGTTTAAGTATAATTTCACTATAAAATGCCATGAAATCAAGAATTGCCTGAACAACCAAATTATGCAGATTATGGGCTTACTTTGTCATACCGAGGCAACTTCATCTTCGAACCTGAACATTTCAAATTGAGAGAAATCAAATGTGAAATACAATATCATAGAGAAAGAAGATTTAAATATAGAGACCGACCTTCTTTTTTCAAATTGGTTAAAGCGGTCAGAGTTTCAATTGACAAATCAAGATCATGGCTTCCAGCATTTCCACGAAACTGGAAAGAAACAGGGCAAGAAACATGTTTCAGTTCTCACGAAGTCTAGACCTCATAGCGTTCTATTAAGACAACATGCAGATAGTTACCTCAAGAAGTGCATTTCCTGGATTTGATTCTCTTAGTTTACTCTACAATCAAAATATAAAATGTCATCCAAGCAAGAATTATCAAGACAAGGACATTTGTTGGAATGGGAAAATGACAAAGAAAGAATCTTTCCACATACCTGACCCTCATGCGTCAAATAAAAATCATCTATAGATATTGTTGCAGATTTCCTATAGTTTTCCATGCATCAGAGATTTGTTACTAAAATGTCCTTTCTAGATAGTCTTTATGAAAAAGGGTAAATTGTCTTCCAAAAAAGACTATGGTTGTGACAGAATTCAGAGCCTACCTGCCAGTTGTTCGGAAAAGATAATCAAGAGCAAAAACCAGAGTTGTTTTTCCACATCCCTGGGGAGCACTAAATCCAATCTAAACCACAAAAATTGAAAATTGTAAGGCCCCTTTTGAAAAATAAATAAATAAAATAACTTGGCTTTTTCTAGCTTTTGCTGCAGTTACAGCTCATGCAACATGAATCATTACAATATTGTCCGAGCTGAACAACTTTAGTCATACTCTATAAAAAAAAATTAACTAGGACAGTTGAGCCCTCTGCATTGCAATGCATTTATGGAGTCTGAATAGTGAGCTGCACAAGTTTAAGGTTAATGAACGTGACTTGCTATAGATTTCATATGGTATGATGATAAACAAAGACACAGAATATGAGAAATTGTAGTGGAAACAAACAAACACACACACACACCCACCACTAAAGGAGGTATATCTTCTCCATCTTTGAACTTTGACTGATGCTCAGCGATTTGGTCTTCACACCAAAGAAAGACTGGTATGTAGTAATGGTAAAGCCTAGCTTTTTGAGGGACAGTTAGGTACAATTCATTGAGTTGGAACAACTGGCTTAGCCTCCGACCATACATCAACCACTTATCTATGGACTCAGCCACCTTTTCTGGTGTCAAACCTGCTTTCTCCATCAAAGGTCCTGAGCATATAAAATCGTAAAGGTCCTGTACAGCTGAAACTTCAGCAGGTTTCGTGGGGAATACAGAATGCAAAGGACCCTGTCTACACTCATTGCTAGTAACAGAGCTAAGTGGAGTGAAATTATGTTGCAACCATGAACTCCCACTGCCTGCATGAAGAAATCATAATTATATATTAAAGATCTCATACGCAAATTCTTATAGTATAAGAAAGTGGTGATCAACAAACCAACTTCCGGGAAAACGAAATTCCATAATAAAATTAAGAACGAAGACGCTAATTCTTTCAATCTCTGATTAACATTAGTCCAATGATATGCCAACAAATTTGTATAAGGACTCGTTGGTCATTTTACTTTTCTTCTGCTACTGCACGTACGCAAATTGTACCCTCTGACGATATGATACGAGAAACCTGAATTTACTCCTCTCCATTTTCTCTCTCTTCTCTCTTCCCAAATCCCAAGCTTCTTCTTTCCATTTCTAGGCTCTGAGCACATCATCCAAAGTGGAAAGTACTTTCATTTTGCAAGCGCAGAGATGGAGCTCCACCAACCAAATGAAACCATTATAAATTGATGTGTAAAAGCATATATACAAAATGTGTCTTTCAAATACGGGAAAATATCTGTTTTCTTTTCAGTGAAGAATCAAATCATAGTTCCATGAGATAATTGAAATTTCAGAGAATTAGTTATTATATGGGAATTAATGAATTTGGGGCAATTAGGTAACTAAAGCTAAGGGATGAGTAGGGAAAGGGGTAGGCTTGCCAATAGACCAGGACACGAATGTCCAAGAACAAGAAACATAAAATTGAGGTCAACCTCTGCTTCCGGCCGAACGACGATGAGAATATAACTGGGGCCTTAACCAAAACAATAAAATTGACGAATAAAGGAATCGAAAACACAAATCCCAAGTTAGCGACTATTTCAGCCATGGGTACCAATTATGAAGCTCCAAACTTCTCAGGAACAATTCGATTCTTAATAATTCTTCAGAATTCTGAATTAACTAACATCTTACCCAATATCTAATAATTCATATTCGTCCGAACTCCCAACTAAAGTATTAAACCTTAATTTCCTTCCCACCAAATCTCCACTGGTCAGTTAGTCCGAAATTGATTGTTTTCACCCTCTCCATTCATAAAATATCATATCATCCAAACACCAGGAAACAAATGACTAAATCAAAGAACCCAACAATCCAATGGAGGAAAAGCACCTGATTTTGTGGAGTGTGTCGGCATTTTAGAGAACTTGGAACAGTGAGATTGATTGGGGGAAGAACACAGAGAATTAGAAGAATAAAATAATTTACAATGGTTAGAGTAATAGCCATAGTCGCTGGAACTATAGTGACAGAAAGAAGGCGAAAGTGTAGGCTGCAATGGCTGAGATAAGAGGTTCAAAGTCGCCATTTTTCAATCTGCTTCAAGCTCGCTCTCTCTTCCTTACTGCAACAGAACTCAGCTATGGAAGTGGCTTAGCTGCCACATACTCCTCGTCTTCCCCTCTGTGGTGAAAATATTGGAACGGAGGGCCATACATAAGACGCAGATTTTTGCATTTATTTACATTTTTATCAATAAGATAGTATTCTTGTTTTGGTTCTTCCCATTAATTTTAATCAATGTTTTTCACTCGCTGTTTTGGAGCCATGTCCCTCCTTGATAGAAAACCAACAATACTTGTGTCTCTCGTTAGTCACTGTCCGTTTTTATTTTTTGGGCCACAATTAGTCATTTTCTTTTCTAAAAGAAATATCTCTATAATCGTTTCACCGAAGCAAAAAAGAGAAGAAATATCTTTATAATCAATTATTCAAATCCTGTATGATTTAATTTTATTTTTCAATTGTTTACATGATATTGATTTTCAATTCTCAGATTTATTTTATCTTTTTATTTTTGCTTCGCAGCCTGACAAATTTATATTCATATCAACTTCATACCACTAAACTGCAAAAATAATTAGAACAAAATCATAAAACATTTGCTTAAAAATTCATACCAATAAAAATGAAATTAATTTTTTGTTATTATCTTGTTTAATTAACAATATTTGTTCTTTGCTATTAAAACTAATTATGTTAGTTAAACAAAATCGATTCTCATCACATTCTTATAGAATTTTTTCATCATAAATATCATATGAACAAAACATAAACATGTACATCCCATATCCATGCATATGTAAGTTTTCCTCCAATAGTGATATTTCCTCTAATTTTGAGTTCAGACTTGATTTCAGTTAGTTCATTAAAAAATTATTCTCTTGGTCTGAAAGTATTGTTTGTTTTGTCGCAAAACTTGTGGCTTTCCATAAAATCTACAAAGAAGGAACATACATACTAACGAAAGTAATGCATAGTTTAGTTGAAGGTGAACTTCCAAGAAACTACAAAGGTCACTTGTCAATTATGTTAACAACAAATCATTACATCAAGTTTAAAAGTATTAGAGGCCACATGTTTTATCATGGGGTTCTTCCTCAAACAACATATCAAGAACCCCAGAAAAAGAAATGGCCATTAAATGTACAGGAAAAGAATGGACCAATGAACAGAAGTTTGGGGGTGGGAATTAGGTGAGACAGAGACATGAGGGCCTTGGATTCACAATGAGCAACTCTCCTTCTATTTTGTATACACCATACCATATCTGTTAGAACTAGAAGTCCCTTTAGTCTTGACTTGTTAATCACTCTCTATCTTCAGAACAGAGTTTCACGCAGTTTCGGCGAAGACATAGCGGCCACATTTTTGAACTGCTAGGGAAATTTTCACAATGATCATCATGCAACTCAATACAAAATAGGTCTAATACTGTGCACTAGCACTTCAAAAATTAGAGGAGGACTAGAATTTTAAACCAGCTTAGCTTTTGTGCTATCTCTAGTGTACCTTGTCTTGTCTGTACTTCATCCGAATGGCACTTAAAGGGCAGCCTTTGGTATTCAGTTGAAGATCTTGCAAAGCTACAATTGTGGCTTTTAAATCTGATGCCTTATACCTTGAATAGTGTTCAAGAGTTGGATTCTGCAGAAAAAAACAATGAAGGTCACGTTTTGTGATACAAATATTGTCGCCTATACTACCATATTCATTCCAAAATGTATTGTGGTCATCAATTTACCCCCAATGTTTTCAAAGAAGAAAAGCATTCAATAAATCCTGACCTTCACTCTATCAATAAAACATTAAAAGAGCCGCTTATGAGGTCAGGACATGCTTGAAGTAATTTTCAAAATGGTGGGGCTAATTTGATGGAAGCAGTGTCCAATATGGTAGTTTAATCTAATACTCCCTCCATCCCTGATTATAGTCCTAATTTTTGGATTTGTTGTGTTCCTAATTACAAGTCTCATTACAAAGTTCTCAGTGTTACTAAGAGATTTTTGCTAAAATACTCTTTATAAAGGATCAA